AAGGAACCGACCTTGACATTTACAAAACTTCTTAATTTCATTTCAATTGCGATTTCGATGATGATGATGATGATTGTGACCTATAACTGCCAAAACACGTCTAAAAAATCGTTCAACTTTTTCATTTAAACACTGCGATAAGATGATGGCTATGATCTTACAGAAACATGGCGGTACTGATGAAGATGATTCTTCAGAAACAACGTAAAAAATTATTAAGTTTTACATTATTGTTGTTGAGTTTGGGCCCAAGGCCTTATGTAGGTAGTGGGGTGGGGCCGAATGGCAAATGAATTGAGCTCTTTGAGTTTTGTAAATCTATTTAAGCTAAGGCAATTGTAATGAATAGGCAAGTTGGTGGTACGATAGTCGATTGATCTGAATTTTAATGTCCGTTGTACGAGGGAGAAGAACAGACAGAGAGACATCGAGACAGACATCCAGACAGACAGAGAAACAGATAGACAGACAGAAAAACAGACAAATGATCCAATATTCTAATATTGTCATTTTCAAATTGCTATTTCTCCAACTACAGCATGACTCGCTAATAGTTATTATATTTGTGTTTTTATGTGTTTTTAAAAATTCAAAAAAGAAAGAAAGAAATAATTTATAATAAATAAAATAAAGTTAAATTAAGAAGAATTTTAGAAATAATTTAAAACAAGATATCTGCCTACCTGCACAGGTAAGAAGAGTATTTGTTTACACTAATTTCAAAACGCGCCTAACACTGCAGGTAAAAATTTTAAAAGTGAATTTATTTACCTTGGATTCTAAAATTATTTTCACTAATTAGTCACGGCCCGATTGAAACTCGAGACGCGTAAACTGCTAGATTATCTGAAAATAAATTTAAGTTTTACGATCGTTTATATTAAAATTAAATATAATAAAATATAAGAAAAATTAATTAAATAAGTTAAACTTTAAAAATCGATTCATTTGTTAACTTTTGATTTTTATTATCCAATAATTAATTTTTATTTATTTGCTATTTTAAATAAAATAAAACAAATGTCGAATTTCGGAAAATTTGAATTTAAATGGAACACTGAAGACTTCGAAATTAGGACAAAATCAGTGGAGAAAACTTTGGAACCCCTCATTAACCATGTAATTTTTTTAAAAATTCATTTGTTTTTATAATTTCTTATTTACTTGCTAAATTTAATTATTTTATTATACAAATATTTATGTATTTGAACCGGTCAATCAATTATCTAATCAATCAATCAACCAACCAAATGATCAGGTGACGACCTTAATGCAAGACAGTCCGTCTCGGGTCAAGAAAGGTCAATCTAAGAAGGCCCAAACCCTTATAGCAGCCGTACAAATGGCCACGGAAAATTTTATCATGCAGGTTGGTTGATTGGTTGATATGGTTGATTGGTTAGTTGGTTAATTGGTCAGTTGGTTGATTGCTCTGTGCTGATTGGTTGGGGAATAAGTGTAATGAATTTTATCATCTAGGGTGAGATGATAGCAAGCGAGTACCCAGAGGTCCAGAAAGATATGTTGAAGATCATCCAGGACGTTCGAAACAGTGGTTTGCTGCTGTTGTAGCTGCCGTTGTAGCTGCTGTTGTTGCTGCTGTTACGATATAACGTCACCATTATTATCATCATCATTATCATCATCACCACTAACTTCATCAGAAATGTTATCATGAATGCTGTAATCGTCAATATTGTTATCATCGTCATCTTCATCATTAGTATTATCTACAGTGTCGTCATCGCTGTCATCTTAAATGCCATCAACCACATCATCATCATCATCACCACCAATAGGGGGCCAGCTCTGCCAATCGTCCCTGGAATTCTCCCAAGCCCCCTGTTCATCAGAGAGTAGGGTGAAGATGGTCCAAACGGCCCGCACGTTGTTGAGGGACGTGACGAGACTGCTCATATTGGCCGACATGGTGGATGTCTTCTTGCTACTGAGGTCTCTACAGATTGTAAGTTGGCTGATTGGCTGGTTGGTTGGCTGACTGGCTGATTGGCTGGTTGGTCGGTTGGCTGACCGATTGGCTGATTGGCTGGTTGGCTCTCTCTTTCATTCTCTTTTCTCTCATCCAGATAAATGGCGATATAGATCGAATCTCGTCCGCCCAAAATAATCAAGAACTGACGAACTGCATGGATCACTTCAATGAGAATCTCAACGAGGTCAACCAACGAACCGGCTCTAGACAGATGGTACGTTGAAGTTGCTACGGCTACTACTGCTGCTGCTGTTGCTGTTGCTGCTGTTGTTGGTGGTGATAATGGGACGATGATGATGATGATAATATGATGACAAAAATATCATTATCAGGATCTGAAAGATGAAAGAAGGCGGGAGGATCTGGCGGCTGCAAGGGCGGTTCTTAAAAAGAGTTCCGTTATGTTGTTCACCACTACTAAGGTTTGTTGTTGTCCGTTCGTTCGTTTGTTCGTTCGTTGATTTGATTGTTCGTTCGCACACAAACACACACACACACGAACACACATACACAGACGCACGTACGCCACCCCGAGCTGCAGGCTGCTCGTTCGAATCGCGATTTTGTCCTTGGCCAGGTGAGAGAGGCGGTCAAGGACATTTCGAACGTTGCCATGGAAACCGGGTCACACAGAGGTCACGACCCTTCGCGAAAGGTCAAAGGGGACATTGCTAATGCCTTGGATGAGTTTGAGGTCGGTCGTCATCGTATTCTTTATAACTAAATAATAATCTTATATAGGAGTAGTGCGTTTTCTCGTGTGTCAAACTTTTTCATTTTTCTTTAAAACATTTAAATGCTCTTCATCTCCATCACCGTCATCATCTTCATCAACATCATCGTCGTCTTCACCATCATCATCATCATCACCATCGCCACAGAACCAGATTATTATGGATCCGATGAGTTACTCTGAGAATAGAACTCGTCCCAGATTGGAGGCCATGTTAGAAAAGATTATAGGTAAGCTATGATTTTTGTCAGCTTTGAAATTACTGTTATAATCGTCATAGTCGTCTGACGCTTTAACTACGTCCTCGCCTTTCAATTATATATTCCATTTTAACAAATATCGTCATTCCAGCTAACAACAACGTTTTCATCAGCTACAACAACATATTTTCACTAATCACACAACAACTGCAACTGAAAATTAGGCAGGGCGGCCATGTTGGCCGATGGAACTTCAACGAGAGATGAGCGACGAGACAAAATAATTAGAGAATGTCAAAATCTTAGAAGCGCTTTACAAAATTTACTCTCGGAATATCTATATTCGGTAATTTCTAGAAATTATTTAGTGTTTTTGGGGGGTAAAATTAGTAGAACGATTTAAAAATCTTTTTTTAAAATCATTACGCTAATAATATAACGCATCAAAAATGCATTTAGTAACAATTATTTTTTAATTAATTTCACTTTTGAAAGTCTGAAAATCCCGGAAGTACGGATTACCTTGACGTCTCAAGAGACCAAGTGTACGGCAGAACTCGATGTCTCAGAAAGCACGTAAGTGACGATGGTAATGATGAAACATCCTTCGATGATGATGAAGATGATGAAGATGATGTTGATGATGTTGATGATGATAATGATACTGATGATGATAACAACAACGACATAGCAGTACTTAAAACCACAACAACAACAACGATGATGATGATGATATTAATACAACAATGACGACATCACGACACAACAGCATAAACCTCAATAAAAACTCCACCAATCAACGAACAGCTTAATAGGTCAGTGAGTGATCACGTGAGCGACTGCTTTCTTGACACAGATATGCCTCTTTTGTTGATGTTGGAAGCGGCGAAAGATGGCGATCATGAGAGGATGGAAGCCTACGCAGGCGTCTTTGTGGAGCACGCCAATAAATTAATTGAGGTTTTTTTTTTTTTAGTTTTTATATCTCTTTGTTATGTTTCTTTTCACAATCACCACATCGTCGTCATCATCATCATCATCCTCTAGGTATCCCAGATTGCCTGTTCAATGTGCACCAACGAAGACGGCATACGAATGGTCAGTTTGGCCTGTGACCAGCTCCAGAAATTATGCCCACAAGTGGTCAACGCCTGTCGCACCCTCTGTAGCCACCCACGTTCGAGTGAGGCCGCGGAAAACGCCGAAGCCTTTAAAGAGGCGTGGCTTAAGCAGCTGACGCTGCTGACTGACGCCGTCGACGATTTGGTGTCTTTGGATGATTTTTTGGCCGTTTCCGGTTTGTTTATTTTTGTTTGTCATGCTTGCGATCATCAGCGTTACATCCATCCACCCCCCACCCACTAAACTACAGAGCAGCACATTCTGGAAGATATCAACCAGTGCGTCCTTGCCCTTCAAAACAACGACCCCACAAGTTTAGACGAGACTTCCGGCAGAATCAGAGGGCGCTGCCAAAGAATTTGTGACGTCACGGAGGGTGAGATGATGAGTTTTTTGAGGGGGGGCGAGGGCAACCAGTACGTGGATAGGGTCATGGAGTGCGTCATGGAGCTGAGAAAACAGAGTTAGTTGTTTTTTGTAGTGCAAAAATATTTTTAAAATTTTGCTTTATCGCTAGAGTCAGTCAGCATTCTCGTCGTCATTTTCATCATCATAATCATGATCGTTGTCGTCATCATAATCATGATCGCCACCGTCATCATAATCATCATCAGTTATAGTAAGATTCACCAATCAAATGAGTGCAACCATAAATGCGCTCAACTCGAACACCCCCGTCGATGAAAATGGATTCGTCCAGGCCTCCAACCTCGTCTACGAAGGGGTCCAGAACGTCAGAAGGGCCGTCCTCAATGATCAGGTCAGTTCGCGACCTAATTTTGACCAAATCATGACCCAATTTCAGTAAATTGGGACCAAACATTTGGTGAAGAATTCTGTTGTTTGATGTGTTATCATATTGGTTGTTATGTGGCTATCGTTCGTTACCTTTATTATTATTATTATTATTATTATTATTATTATTATTATTATTATTATTATTGTTATTATCATCATGATCAGAACGTAGGTGATTATGATTCCGACTTGGAAGATGAAGCAGAATTCGAAAAGTTCTCGAAAAGTTGGCTTGCTGAAATTCCGCTCAAGAATTAATTAATTATAATTTTAATTAATTATAATTTTAATTAATTATAATTTTAATTAATTATAATTTTAATTAATTATAATTTTAATTAATTATAATTTTAATTAATTATAATTTTAATTAATTATAATTTTAATTAATTATAATTTTAATTAATTACAATTTTAATTAATTATAATTTTAATTAATTATAATTATATTCAAAAAACTGAACGAAAGAAAGAATGAGTGAATGAAAGAGTACATGAGTGAAGGAATAAATGAATGGATTCACTCAATTAACATACACACGACCTATTTAGTATTCATAAGCCCACCTAATTATTATAATTTATGCAGATGCCGCCCTACGCAAGAGTCGCCGCCAGGATAACGTGGTCTTTGAGGAAGATAGTGATAGGGCGAGAATGCGAGCCCTGCCGGAAGAGGAAAGAAATAAGATTCAGCAGCAGGTGAATGAGTGAATGAATGAATGAATGAGTGAGTGAGTGAGTGAGTGAGTGAGTGAGTGAGTGAGTGAGTGAGTGAGTGAGTGAGTGA